GGGCCCGCCAGCCACAGCACCGTCCCCAGCCACCGGCTGGATGAGGACAATGACAGGCTGGGACCGACAGAGGATGGGGTGGCCCCAGGGCAAGATGACGACACTGATGTGACAGAGAGTGGGACCAGCCTCAAGCCTGAAAACCGCAGCACCCTAGACATTGGTGAGGATGCTCAGGGTGCTCACCCCGGCGCTGGCACTCGAGCACCTGGTGGTGTCGGTGTGGCAGTTCCCACCCTGGCCAGCTCGGAGGGCAGTGGAGACCTGGATTTGGTGGTTGAAGTTGATGGTGATGTTTCCATTCTGCCCCATGGCAGACGCCCTGGTGAGGCTGTGGTGGTGAACAGGTCCAGTGTCAGGAGTGAGGATAGGGATGATGGTGCCCCTGGGGGGGCTTTAGTAGAGGGGGCAATGACATCTGGGAGAGAGAGGGCCCCTGCCACTGGAGTGGATGGGGATGAGGGCAGTGGCAAGGCCACCATCTCTGGCCAAGGGCAGGAGGGCATCATGTGGGGCACAGGGACAAGAGGCACCACTCTCGTCACTGAGAAGATGGAGGACATCCAAGTTAACACCGAAGGTGTGCGTGAATACACTTACATCCCTGACTCGAGCAGTGTCACTGTCACCAGCGGGAAGGTCGGCAGCACAGCAAGGGCCACCAGCTTCACCCAAATCTCTCCGGACAAGGACGGTGAGGTCAACATCTTAATTGGGAGGGCCAATATCCACTTAGGGGAGCAAGAAACCACCCAGGCTGGTGCTACTGTTGGCAGCAAAGATGATGGCATCCCCACTGTGGGAACCAGCAGCCCCCTGCCCAGGCTGGGTGTCACTGTGGCACGCGATGGCAGTGACAATGAAGGCATCCCTGCTCGCAGGCCACCTGAGGGACTGGCCACCACAGCCACCCCAAGCCATGGGGATAGCGTCACCAGCAGCTCTAGGGATGGCCATCCCACAGGAGACAATGAGGATGGTGCCACCACCATTGGTGATGGAGAAGGACCGGTGGCCCCCGGCCCCTGGAGGGTCACTGATGGTGACATTACCATCACTGCTGAGACTGGCATCCATGGGAACGGTGATGGTGGGGTGAAAGGTGAGGGGCAGAGGTTTGAGGAGATGCCAGGACGCCCAGCTGTCACCACCACCAATGGCCAGGGAAGTAATGAGGAGGCCACCGCTGCTGTC